CTCATGTTCATCTTGGAGTCCACTAGGATCCTCCCTTAGTTGCCTGTGCCATCTACAGACATTGGGTAGGTATCCCCACTCCTTACCGGAGGATCGTAGCTATTCCTGTCACTGGTCCCCGACTCCCTTTGGGGTCTTGTGCCTCCTCCTCTTCCTCTCTCTCCTCATCTGTGGTGTCTGCCTCCGGTGCTCGAGGGCAAAGTATGGTCCCTAGCAGCTGGGCTTTTGTAGGTGGTGGCGGGTGTAATTACCCTGATCTTCCCTAGGTGTACAAAGTCCCTTCACCTGTGTATCATGCTCCCCATGGTTTCCTGCCCCCAAGGCTATCCTAGTAATGGGGCTTCTGCCCAAGCCCCTGTTACAGTCAGTTAAGCCCACATTGGCTTTATGATATTGCAAAAGTAGTATACTTATACCAAATAGAAATATATCCTGATTTCCATTTCCAGTGTCATATAAATAGACAGTTGTTAAATAATACCATACCATACCTTTAAATAAATTTAATTTTTGAAAATGATGTCATTTCTATTTAGGTTTCTATAAGACAGATCAGGAACCCATTTATGAAAGTTGGGGCTTACAGAATTTCATAATTTGTTGGATTTTGGGAGCATTGCAAATCTCAGAAATCAATAGCTACAATACTAGTAATTTAGACAAGAACAGTTGGAAACTACAATTTCCTTCATTCTCTTGGAAATGAATGTCAGATTATCATGTGCTAGGACACTATACAAGAAATATTTAAACAAAGTGATGTTTCTTTTCAATTACTTCCTTTCCCATTTTCATTGATTTGATGTCCCTTTCGATAGAAACACTAGAGAACACAGCAGCAACTACCTTGAAATAACTCTTGTTAATTTAAGTGTCTAAGACCTGTAGTTTTTCCAAGTAGTGCAAGAGTATAGACCACATGATTCAAGAGACAAGTAAAGGGATTTACAAGGGAATAAGGAGTTCAGTGTTAAATCCAAAACTTGTAGTTTATTAAATTTTGATAGAGATACTTTAAAATTAATTTCTTATATTTAAGGGAGGCAAGGATTTTTGTAAGTGATATCTTTAATCAGACCATCTGCATGGTTGGGATAGACTTAGATAAGGGATCTGAAAAAGAATGCATTGTATATGAAACCTTGTCTAAGTCTATCCTAACCATGTAATTGGTCCAATAAAAGCTGTCACCCACAAGAAATCCTTGCCTCTTGCATACTTTTTGGACCATCATGGTACAACATCAATCCACCATTTCCTATATTTACATTTTCTAATTTTCTTATAAAAATATTGAACCAAAGCAATACCTATACTGTTTGAAGACACAGTACTCACCCTCATTTTAAGTCATTATTTCTATATGTAAGCTTACATTTTAGAGTATTATCTGAAGTTAAATAAGTGTTCTCCCTGCTTTGTTCTTTCAGTTATGTTACAAGCAAATTCTTAAGTGTTTCAAAATAAGTATAAAATCATCCAATTTATTTTTATTTCAGTAAATTGCTTTCTCAAATGGCATTATATCCTTAAGCTGTGATATCCATTTTCTTAACTGTAGAAAGTACTTTGGATTTCTAGTACATTTCAGTATATCTCCTAAAATTAAAAGAACTAGAAAAGGGATATACTGATCTAGAATAATGCCTCCAGTAACATGCAAAAGGCACCATTTAGGAAAGAGGCCAACTGGATTATTATATTTATAATCTTTCTCCACTAGGTCCACTTTAGGATACCTGAAAAACACACAAAAGAGGCAGGGGTGAAAACAGGGGGATACAATGATCTTGTCAGACCTGCTTTTGACACTCCTGCTGTCTTGGCTGCCAGATGCATGCAGAGGGGCTTTCTGCCACCACCACATTCCACTTTTCAGGTCTTCTTCTGGTAGAAGAGTCTTCTAAAACATTACACTTCAGGAGGTGTTTTTAAAGAGTAAAAGAGTTTTTAAAGAGTTTTTAAAGAGCTTAATGCAGATGTTAACATTCAAAAGTGACTTATGAAGGAAACTTTTTACATGTTAAAATGCTATCACATATGAAACAAGCCATTAACTAAACTTACCATAATTAGTTAAAATGAAAGAGTAAGCCATACAGTAAGCCTGCCTCTGCTGTCTAGGTATCCTATATAAATAAATCAAGTGATAGGGTAACCTTAAAGGTTTCATTAGGATTACTGTTCAACCTACCAGAATCTACTGAAAACCAACCCAGACTGTACAATTCTCTATTTTTCACTCAATTGGTGTCTCTCCTACCTACAGTTATCATTCCACATGAAATAATGGTTAACCTCCTGTCCCACAATATATCTGCTGGGTATGGAACCACCCTCCCTACCAGTGTTATTGGGTATCATGAGGCAGGCATATTATCCTACTAAAATCTTGGCAGTACTCTTCTGGACAAGGGATACAAGTAATCCTCTAGTACGGGCTGTACAAAGCAGCAACACAGTTACTTGCCCTTCCAAGCATTTTCTCCATCTGGACCTGAAAGACTTTGTAATGGGCAGCCACACAACAAAAGAAGATTCAAAATGTTAATGCATTTTGAACAGCCATATGAAATAAGATCATCGAGCCAAAGAGCAGGAAGTAACCATTCATGTGATCAACCAAAAATTTGATGAGTACCATAATGGCTTGTCACAAGTTTTGGTATTCACCCAAAAAAGTTCACATTAATTTTCATCAATGTAAAATTGCTTTATAAGTTTACACACTGGAATATTACAGCAAAATAAAAACAACCCCTTGTTTTTTTAACTATTATTAGTTACCAAAATATTTTACCTCCATTGGTTGAATATTATTTATACAACAGATTTGCAAAAACTAACTGGATGTTTCTCTAATATTTCTAACACTGTTTTGAAAAGCTCTCAATTGACATAAAAGACACCATATCATCAAACCGTTATATCAGTTAAAACAATCTACCTGTGTATTAAATTTATTGGATTTAACATGAACTGTATGAAATTAAATGAGAAAAGACAATCTGTTCTTAGCCTCAAAAATTTAGACACAAGGCACCTGCATTCTGATTGTGGTGTGGACAATGTATAACAAGTATTAAAGATCTATGAGTAGCAAATGAAATCTCCTGGCATTTTTCAAAATCTCATTTACCAAAAAACATGTATAGATAATTCATCAGGAATTTCCAGACTTTGCTATTAGCTGTAACCTATTTTCAAAAATGACTTTTTAATGTTTACCCTTTCTCATCCACCAACTAGCAGGCACTTAAATGTCAAAGCTTACAAGTCATTGCACACTTAAACTAATCTAAATTTAAAAGTCTAATTCTGATTTTTGACCCAAGGAAATAAGATAAATTAAATTGTAAAAAAAAGCAACATTTATAAATCAGTCTAGTATAACCTGAGTAACAGTCATCTTTAAATAACATTTTCATTAGCATGTGATACTAAAACAAATCTGCTAAAAGGAAGCCATTTTTAAATCAAGTAGGGCTGCTTAGCCACTCCTCCACCCTAATCCTCAATGCATCCTGTTCAATCCTATACTATGGCAGTTAAAACTGAGTTGTGGCATTTAGAGTCAATCCAGACCAGACCACTGTATTGTAGCTGGAGTGCCTGTTACAGAACAGTGCTTGCATCCTTAACAGCCTCAAAAAGATGACTTAGAGTAGAGAAAATGAAAGATCCATCACAACAAAGTTCCTGTTTTCTGTAATGCTACGTTTTGCACTGCAACGTGTAAGGTATGGACATTTGCAATGTGACACTACAGGGGGTCTCTTGCACCCCCAGCTTCTTACACTGCTACATCCCTTCCTTTTTCCAAGGAACTGCTGCAGATCCTCATCTGCTGTTTCCACCAGTGAAGCCACAGAGATGGTTACCCCTGCGGCAGAGGCACTAAAAACAGCTGATGGCTACACTCTGGAGCAACGGACAGCAGCAGCAGCAACTGTCAAATGCAGATCCTGTGGTATAAGAAAAGCAGTTCTACTCATCCCTCTCCTCTGCCAGGACTGCCATCTTTGCCAGCTGCTGCTTCTGGTCCAATCCCAGTCCGGGTCCTGGAGCAGCAGCTATGAAAGACAGCCAGACCAGAAACAGCCCTCTTCCCTGCTGGGAGCAGAAACAACTGTCAAACACAGCCCTCCACTCCCTCAAAGGGGAGAGCGCAGGCTGTCAATGATTGGGCTCATTAACAGTCCCCCCCCTGGAGCTGGGGTGCAAATTAGCAGTCTCCAATACCCCCTGGCTGGAGGACATGCCGCAGAATGCCTTCACAATGACTTTGTAGAACTCTAGCCAGGGGACTCTGAATGTGTGCATACCCTCATAGCACTCTTTTTGTGGCATGACAAAGTGTCAAGACAAAAATCAGTGAATATTTTGAGAATATTCTCCACAAGAAAAGAAACAAAGCCATGTCTATAATGTTCCTTCCAACCATGGGTTCACCACTGAAGAAAAACTTCTAAATGGAGTGCACCCAACACCTGCAACTAGGCAATGTAAACAGCTCAAGAGTAGCCTCAAGCAGATTTGAGTTCCTCCTCCTTGGCAAGCTAGAGCTGTTGTTTTTATTTCCATGAAAGCCAGATTTATGTTCCTAAAATATCTATATGGAAAGGTCTGTGTAAGGCAAACTCAATTAACATATAGATACTTACGTCATACTTTCAACTATTTGTAATGTACACATATTAAGAATGTTTCTCAGAATGTCTACTTTTCATGTGATTCTGAAAACACTACTATAGAATGGACATTAGAGGTGCAAAGGGCACTGAGAAATAGTCAAGAATTTGGTACAGTCCACTTGGTTTGCATACCCATTGAGTATCTTGCACAATTTGTTTTAGGATGCTTGAGTAGGAACAGCATTTTGGCATAAATAATAATGTGAACATTTTCTAGAAGAAAATCCCTAACTATGACCTGTTCAAACAAAATTCTATACTTATACAAAAGTACAGTAAATAGAATAAATTATTAATGGTTCCTACCAGCTCACTGCTAGATCATGCACTCTTAAAGTGTTGCTCAGCTTGTATAATCCAGATTTCAATGGTCGTGTACATTCTTTGACCCGAGCAAGGTTTGGGTTCACTTGAGTATCTACAGGGAACTCTGAGTCCTAGGGGAAAAAAGGAAAATACAGTGACTAATTCTTGGTGTGGGGGGTACTGCACAAGGTCATGCAACAAATCACCTATTAATGTATTTTGTCTATTTTTTCTACAAAGTGCTCTGAGAAAATTTCTGAACAATGATATCACCATAGTTTTGTTCTAGATAGAGCTCAAATGATTACTGTCCAGGAACTAAAGTAATAGCAATTGTTAAAAACAAAGTTAAACCCTTTTCTTTTTTTCTAAATCTAAAAAAACCCCAGATGTATATATTTTATGTAAGTAGCTTTTGATCTGTTATGTATGTGTAAAGTGAGAACTGTTTTGCCAACCTACATAATTTTTTGTCCATAAACTTACAGCGAGAACTTTTCAAAGATAAATGTTTCATCTTTTTTCATGGTGAATACCATATAATAAATCACTGTTTCAGGAACAAGCTAACCCAGGCCGGTATTTTATAGAGCAATCTGAGTCTGATATTAATTAATATAGAGAGTTTTGGAGACGAATTTTAGCCAACTGAGGCTCATTTGCACTCGGTAAAACTAAATTCAGGCATATATACACTAAAACCATGATTAATTATATAAAGAATGCAGAATGAAAGAATGCAGAATATTTTTGCAGGCATGCTGATACCAGTGCGTGGAAGCATTCACAATATTTGTGTTTTAACCCTCTCCCATATTCTAGGCTTCTCACTTGTCTTTTTAGACCGCAAGTTCTTTAAGACAAAGTCTGTGGACCAGAGACACATCTGAGATTTTAAAAAGTGTATTAGATTGATTTACAATCTAATACAAATCACTAAGGATCTGTTTCCTGAATAAATATATAAATGTAGAACCTTTAAGAGATAGCAATACTTAGGAATGGGAAATATGATTTCAGCTGAGAAAATAGGAATATGGGGTGAAATCCTATCTCCAGTGAAGTGAATGGCAAACCTCATATTAAGTTGAGTGAGGCGAGGATTTCACGTATTACCGTATTTTCTCAAATAGAAGATGACCCTGATTATAAGACAACCCCCCAAAATTAAATTTAATATATAGAATATTTATAAATTCGTTATAATTTTCCAGGTATAGAATCTAATTATTGGAGGTCTGCGTTGAATCCTCCCACAAAGGAACCAGGTGCTAATAAGCCCCTATTCATGACTGGAACTAGATATTCTTGTCACAAGTCCTGGGATGTTCCAAAATTCATATGCATATAAGGTGCAGGGCAACCTGGTCTGACTTCACCTCATGGAGGGCCAGGCCACACAAATCTCAGGCTAATTAGTTAAGCTGAGAGGAGCCAGAGGATTCTGGGTGAATTGTATGCAATGTCATGGCTACCACGACTTGCAAATGAGTCAGTAGTGAGGGGCACTGTGCTGAGGTGAGGGGCACTACCCATTGAGCACAGCATTATGGGTATGACTTATCAAATGGGTTGTGTGGCAGAATACCATCTCGGTCTTTCCCCAAACTCTGCTATGTGGCAATTTGGTTATCATGGTCACTGCAGAGGGCAGACACCTCTGGCCCCATCAGTTTAAGGTAACCCTTAGCTGTAACCTGAGCTGGATACATTCCAGAGGAAGTCCTTTTTCAAATATATAGGGAGGAAGAAGAAGGCACCAGGAAACGTGGGGCCCCTGCAAGATATGCCAATACATTTCTCCTTTGTACCTAGCATGGGAAACTTATTGAGAGATGGTTGAGACTATGCCCTGGGGTCCCCTTGGTTCAGCTGTCTAAGGGAGACCACTATTTGTGCTTCAGACTGAGGGAAGCACTCGAAGTTCTTGCAGTGGGTCAAGCACCCTCAAGAACTACTAGGTCTATGTTTCCCAGAGGGCACAGCTCCAGGATCAGTCCTGACTCTGGGTGGTAGCTGTGTTACCCCCAGGCTTGTGGGTGTGCTCCAGGAAGGGGGTAAGCCAGATGTGAGGAGACCCCAAGGAGGCACTCGAAGCCTGGAAGGCGGTCGGGGGCGGTGAGGTGGGATGCACTCTGTACTGGCCCACCACAGGTTGCACTAACCTGTTCTTGTGGTAGGTCCCATCAGTACTTTTGCCCAATTTGGACCATGCTTAGCGTTGGCTTCATTTACTCAACTTCATAGTTGGTTTTTCAATACTACACAATTTTACATAATAAAATAGTTTTTTTCCTAGAACCTTTAGTTTCTGCCTGTTTCAAGAATCTGTCAAAAAGAACTAACCCTACAAAACAAAACTACAAAGTCACAAGGTTTGGTTTATTCTGGTTTGGGTTTTTTTGTTTGTTATACTCACTGCTAAACCAACAATTTTACAAATGGATGAAACTAATCAACTCAAGCCCTGCAGACTTGGAATTAATTTCACTGTTATTGAATTACACTCTTCTGACTTTACAGCATGGGACAATGACTCTAAAAGCTGATTAGAACAGAAACTGATTAAGAGAATAAATAATCCTATATTACTAAAAAAAAAATGCAATAGCTACTGAACTACTCACATAATTACTAGGAAGACTGCATATTGGCAACATGATTAGGTAGCCCACTTAAAGCCAACTGTTAATTGATATAATCAATTCAAATGAACTTTGCTGAAAAAAAATCCTGATCTTTTAGAACCTAATTCTGCCATATCTCTATACCTCTATCATTCACATGAAAGAGAAGTTTAATTCATCATGCACATAAATTACATATCCAAATTATCCTGGTAGGAAAATGAGAAAATGTAAAGCATAGACTAAGAATGGTAGTTAGCTATGTTAGTCTGACGTCTGGCAGCAGGCGAAGTAGATTATCACCTTATGGACTAACTAAATCAAAGATGCATAAGCTTTCATGAGCTCAAGCTCAATTCACTAGATGCTGTGAAAAGACATTCATTGAACAGTGTATCAAATGGAGACAGTGATTTGAATATAAAAAGACAGGGAAGGAAGGTAGGGAGGGAAGAAGGGAATGGGAGGAGACCAAGGAGAGTGACCAGTGCGGTGAGAGGCAAAATAAGCAATAAACCCAATGGGCGTGTCCAGACAAGCGCACGTGCCTCTTGCAGCATTCCAAACCAGTTTGAGATGCTGCAATGAAAAAATGTTCCCCATACTGCAAACATGCAGCGTGGGCTCAAAATGTGATATCTGAATATCCAGGCATCAAAAAATAACCCAGGGGAAAAAACCAGGGCAGGGCATGGTCCCAGATCATACCCTGGGTAACCAGGAAGCTGGTCCTCCAGAGAGATGCCCTGGTTTCTGGTCACAGCATCTCTATGGTGCTTCTGCTGCCCCAGGATGTGGGGCACACATGCTTAGTGTGCCGAGGAAAGTGGAAGTGCAGCAAGGATCGGGTGCTGTTGGGGGTAAGTAGGGACTGTGGGTGTGGGGTTGTGGGTATGGGGAAAGGCTGTGCTTGTGTGGAGGGACTATAGTGAGGCTCTGTGTTGGGGACGGCTGGTTGGGGGGGGTCCCCCACAGGGCCCACAGCCCCATCCCTTCAGCAGCAGAGGCTGTGGGATGCTCAGGGTCCACTGCTGCCAGGCCCCTTGTGGTGTGGTGTGGCTCTGATCACCTCAGATGTTCGTTGTGGGTGTGGCCTGGCTCAGCATGGCACCACACAGGGCTGTATGCCTTTCTGCAGCCCCAGGGTTGCTCACGCTGTCACCCGGGGGCCAGCACCGCTTGCAGAGACCGCATGTCATGCTGGGGCAGGTTCTGCTTGCACAAAAGCAGTCCAGTCTGGTGGCATGCAGGTCCTCTGCATGCAGGACACATGGTTCCCATGAGTGGTACTGGACCCCGACTGATAGTGTGAGTGGCCCCAGGCCTACAGAAAGATGCAGGGCCTGTGCAGTGCCACGCTGAGCCACACTAGTGAAAAACAGCACAAGCAGTGCTGGCTCTGTGGTGATCAGGGCTACACCATGCCACAGGGAGCCTGGCAGCACCAGGCTCTGAGTGCTCCACGGCTGCTGCTGCTGTGGGGGTGAGCTGTGGGCCCTGTGGGAGGGAGGCTAGGACACTGCATAGGGGAGCTTTGGGCCATGCAGAGGTGGCTGTGGGCCCTGTGGTGGGGGCTGGGGTCCTGCAGGGGGGGTATCCATGTGCTGTGGGGGGGTTGTGCCCTGGGGGGGACAGGGGACCCACCCCTCCTGAGCAGTCCCCCCACACCCACAGTCCCCCCAGAATCTCCCAACTACCCACACACCAACCCAAATCCCCCCACATCCCTCCACACCCACCCGCACACCCACCCACATATCCCACATGCCTTCCCCTCTCCTAGAAACCCCACATCCCCCAACACACACCCATCGTGTGATAAGAAAACCAAAAACAAACATCAAAACATATAGATATTTAGAATTAATTTTATTATGATGATAGAGACAGTGGTAGGCTTCCTAATTGCTTTAACATTGTAAATATAGCAATAAAACATTGCCAAGCTGATCTCTCTCTCTCTAGTCTTTTGTACTAATTGTTGGAAGAACATGGATTTTGGGGTATTTTAAAGAGTAAATTTGGGATGCTGCTTTAGCAGTCCAGCTGGCACAAGGGGTAATGTCCCAGGATACCAATTGGATGGGCCCCAGAAGCTCCTATTTGTCCATCAGATTACCATGGGCAAGGCCCACCTGGCTAACTGGTAGCCCCTTTTTACGGAGGCTAATGGAAGAATGGAACAACTAAATTCCTGGGACATCTAATGAAAAAAACAGGAGTGTCGTGTGGGTCAAAGGGTCACAACATGAAAATAAGTGTGCCTGAGGGGGACACTGAGCAGAGCCCCCTGGGCCGCACCCCCCCAGTCCTCAAAGGCATTCAAGGAGCCGGTGAATGCCACCCACTGGTGCTCGGCCCAGAAATGTGCACGGACAAGTGAGCGGAAAGTGGCCCTGCAGTCTCTGGGCACCTTCCCGGCCACAGCCTCCTTCCTGGTCAAGTACAGGGCCCACTTGGCCAGCGCCAGGAGGAGGTTGACCTGGAGGTCCCGGGACTTGGTG